GCATTTTTTCCCTTTGATCTAGAATATAAAGTCGAACGACATTTTATTCATAATAGTACTACGCGTTGTATGGACTAACATCCTTCATAATAATAATTATTTAAACTATGTTTATTGCAAGAATCACTTTCTTGTGTTCGAAGCCGTGTATCTTCGACAATTTTGCATTTTTTAAGGATTTTAGTTCAAACGATGCGTAGTACTATTATGAACAAAATTTTTAAACGTTTCATTCTCATTCTCATCGGCATTTTCTCTGCGTTTATCCGATATTTTATCGTTTACCAAGTATCGTAAAAAAAATTGTCGACCGTTGAGGGTTGAACATTCCGTGGCGCGCCGTGGGAATCTCGAAAGCATTCCGTAAGAGGCACTCGACACTTGCTCCGAAGGTCGAGGATTTCGAATTCCTTTCCCAGTTCTTTTTCACGCATTTTCTAACACTTTAATCATTTCGATGTGCAAAGAATTTTTTGAAATATCTCCAAGTACTCACAGTACCGGAAACTCGTTACAAACAATCCATTCTCTGGCACGTTACAAAATTAGTTGTTAAATAAAATAAATCTAGATAAATATAAGTAAACACAAGTTCCATGAAAAATTTGATTACGATCGATGCATCGAAATTAATTCTAGAAACAGTCAAATTTATTCCCAGGATAGTAACTCTGCCTTTGCATAGAATCTATCACGGTTATTTATAATAAATCGCCTTATTTTTGCAACGCATGAGCTTTAGTCGCGTCGAATATTCCGGCGAACTTCATCCATCAGCTGTCCACGTGCATTCGTCTGGCTCTCGTTTATCAAAAAAGCAAGTTCATTGAAATCGGCCCTCCTAGTCGCGATCTACCCACGAGCGTGTCTGTCGGATCCTCCGCAACCCCCAAATTTGTCCGTAGGATCGTGCGTTAACGCGGATTCGGTTTGTTTGCACGCCAAACGGGATCCTCGCGGCATTTATGAAGGCGGATTTCGTTGGAATCCTTTCAACCCGCCATCGAGTAGGATTAATTTTGCCTTACTGGACGGAAAAGAGTCGACGATATTCCAGAATATATAAAAATCAAATCTCTCGATAACGAAATGAGAAAAAGTTTGATAACTTGGGATTTGAATTTATCGTTTGGTAAAATTTGAATCGAAGAAAAGAAAATTGCAATACGGAAATATGTACTCGAATGGGTATTTTCTATCTATCTGAACTGTTGAATTAACCGTTTGACTGTAGTGAATGAACGTCCCCGAGCCGAGGGGTTAAAAAATGATGACGTTCAAAAAATCCCAGCGACGTGGTTCGATCCGCGTCATCGTCCGGCGATTGGCGTTTCGCAGACTCATCGTCGATCATCGGTGATTTACGGGGCTGGGTACCGTTGTCAAGACTCGTCGAGAAAAGGGAAGGAAGGCGGTATATCGGTCGCTCGACGCCGAAGCGGAATAATTGACACGACAAAGAGCTTCCGGTGCCTAGGAGGCCTATTCACGCGCATCAAAGCCCGTCGAGACCCGTTGCACCGATGTGCATCGTCTACAATGCAACGGACAATGGCAATATTAACGCGACGATGGAGTGCAGTTCTCATTGTTCTAGATCGCGATGCATCTTAACGCGACCCGACCCATTATCGCCGCAAGACGCGTAAAAAACGGGAGACAAATTGGCACTCGCCTGTACCGTTCGGCTCGTGAAACCGATTTCATGACCGATTTCCTCCCCTCCGGTTCCCCTCTATTAAATTTAACAGGTTTGCAAGCTGTTAGCCAACTCTCCTCCGCGGCAATTTTATTCTATCGTTCGCGAAAGAAATTATCGCGGGAGGAAGGTGATTTCAATAAAATGTAACTGCTCTTCTATATTTGAAATGCGAATCTAGATAAGATCCTCCAACCCTCAGATTACTATATAAATTGAACAGTAATTAGAAAGTCTAAAGTTATCCTTGCAACGTATTGTAAATTAATTATATTTATTTCCGTTAATAAATGAATAATAATAATTCTTACCACTTGTTCAATCTCACATTCGTGACAGTACATAAAATTGAGAGAGATTCGAAGAACATGTTCGACTCCGGATCGAAGAATCTCTGAAAATCTTGATGAGAGTTGGGAATATAGAGGCAGTATCGAATCCAGTAGATGGTAGGACATCGTCGTTTCCGGTGTAGCATGACTCGCATTCGAAAGGGCTCTCTTGAACTTCAAACATCCGCGCGGCTCGATCAATGTCGAGCAGTTCGAAACGGATATCGCATACTCGATAGATCGAGCGTTCTTCGAGTAATTTTGACCCACGATCGGCCGTGACGGTTGCCAAGGAATGCCTTCCCCTCGAATCTCGTGCCAAGAGCCCGTCCGCTAAGCCATTTCTGATGGCATTGAGTCCGCTCGCATCCCGAGAAAACTCTCGGCATTCAGAAATCGAACTTACGCTGCGTCGCTGGATCGACGGAATCGCGTTCGATCCGCCGCGTTTCCACTGTGTTGCTCCAAACGACGACGAGTGGGCTGTTCGTTCGCCAGTTCCATCCATTTGTCGGCCCGGGGAATGCTCATTTCGATGAACGTCATTTTCGAACACCCACGCCGAAACGTGACATTGATCGTTTGAACCGTTTGGCGGCGAATCGTTTCTCGCTCAAAGTTGATGTCTAATTTCTAATTCTTTTATCCTCCGTGAGAATCTGAATCTCCTGTGTAATATATGAGGTGGAAATTTAGCAGACTTTTTTATTTGGAGATTCAGCAAACGACAACTGCAAATCTGCTTAAGAGTATTTTTCACGTGGTTTCGTTCGCCTGTAGCTCTTTTGTCTAGAAAACACAATGGTGTGTACTTAACTTGGGCTTTGGGGTAAGTGCACACCTGGATCTTGGATTTCGCTGCAGCTATAGGGCGAATGCGTCGATCCATTATTCCTACTCCGGTCCAACCAACACTTAAAAAATTCAGATTCTAAAATTAGATAGATCGAGAGCCGTTAAAAAATGACTGAAATCAAAAACGATACAGAGATTTGTGTTCTGTGTAGCAGAACAAGAGATGAAGTGGTTTCGTTTAATTATCCCCGGAGTCTATCTTTAAGAATTCACTGTACTGCAGTAGTCCGTAATAAATCCAACGACGCGCACCGTGCCAGGAATTTAGCTTTCTAAGATCCTGCGAAAGTGTCCCCCTAGGGGTGCTTTAGGCTGATAATCGTCGTTCCCGACGAAACTGCCCTACCGCACGTTATCATCCATTATTCCTCCGCAGGGAGCTTCCCCGAAATTGCCTTTTGACAACGCTCTCCCTGCCGCCCTTTATCCCCTTTACGCCTTTATCCACACTGTTCCTCGCCACGAAAGATAGTCTGTGCACGGCCCGTTGCAACTGATGCTGATGCGTTTCTTACCACCCCCGCAGGGCGCGCTCGATGTTTATCAAAATCCATCTGTCGTAGACAGGCTATTACATGGGCCGGGGGATCTTCTTTCGTCGAATTTAGGGCCGGGGTTTATTCAATCGTGGCTGAAATCCATTTCTCGAGGGGCGTTCATGATCTTGGCCCATCGAGGCTAAACGGATCGCGTCGTTTAACTCGTATATTTCACGCGTGATATATCAGAGCACAGGTCAGACACGGGAAATCCTATTCGTTCCGGGTCAGAAGTGTCAAACAATATTTCCTAATTCAGCGATATCGAAATTACAAAGGAGAAATTGTTCTATCGGAAAAAAATACAAATTTGGGGGTGTGATTTTTTTTATTTTAGTTATTTAATTCGCGCGAGACAAGCGAAGATCATTCGAAAATTCAAAATTGGATCTACCAGCATCCCTTTCTACACCTCTAGAAGTTTTCAAAAATGGGAATGGTTTACACGTAAATTATAATCTCGTGCAAATCAGAGCTACGATCGAGTTTACCGCGTCTCGGGTTTTCGAGACGTTTTCTCGTTTTTTGCCATACCCGCGGAGCCATTAAACGTCTATGGGACCACAGTAACGGCGTATTGATTTTATGGTGACATCGACATGGCCGTCTAACAATGAGTTAAGAGGAATCGAACCATGGAAGCTCGCGGGTCACGTTCGATATGATTTTCTGCAAATATTCATTCAACATCTATGAGCGAATCTCCCTCCTCGAAGGGTACAATAACCTCGGGAAATAAGTCCTGCTATCAAGGAAATGGAAGCCATCTTTCATGGCATTATCGTCGTGCCTTATGCGCTTTTCCTGGTTACGTGCTTCCGCGAGGCTTTCTTCGACGGTAGAAAATAAAAAAAATGGAATAAAAGTTAAAAGAAAAAAAAAATGTTGCAGTTGATTGATTTGTTCGACTCTCGGGAAATTGTTGCGAACGTCTGACAACTATACGCGGTAGCCTAGATTTTTCATTCCACGAAGCTCTTCCATTTTTATTTCGAAAATTTTCAACGTCACCAAAAACCATACGTTTTACATTTCACTATTTTCGACTATCACAGAACCCCGAAACATTTTTTCACTTTTTTCTACCTCGTTCGCATTAATTGACTAAAAATTTCAATCTATCGCATCCAACGACATTGTTTCATCAATTTTTCGACGAAACTCAATATTCTACGGACGCGTACGTACGCGAAATTTGTTTCCCAAACGAACCATCACGACGAATGATAACCATATTTCCACGACAATTAGTGTCAACGAAACGAAAGGTGTAATCGATTCGCTGGGGCGGTAACCGCGACTTCCGAGGGTTGTTTCATCCCTCGTCGGTAACGCAGAAAGCTCGGGTGGTTTTCTCTGGGAAAACGGGGGAAACGCGGAAAGCTTCCGAGTCGATAACGCGGGTGCAACCGGGTCGGAGGACGTTGCAGTCGTTCGTTTTACCAGCGATCGCTGTTGCTTGCGACCCAACGTTATTTTCCCATCGGGCGAAACCGATAGACGATAATGGACCATACTTTGCGTGATATAATTTTCATTGATACTAATCTGTAGTATTTCTTGTCTGTCTTGCAGCAAAGAAACAGAATGGGGCGGCTTTACGGACGAATAGCTTGGGGTCGGGGGCGAGGACACCACCCCTCGAAAGGAAAAGCAAGTTCTCGGCCCTCGGTAGACTCTTCAAACCGTGGAAGTGGAAACGGAAAAAGAAATCGGACAAGTTCGAGGCCGCCTCCTTGTGTAAGTATAAATTCATCAAAATTCAACATTTCGTTCCAAGACTTTGTGAGTTCAATCACAGACGAACTATACGAGTAGACCTAATAACTTATGAACTTCCGTGGCCCAAACTGACTGCCATACCGACTTGAAAATGCGGTGATCTTAGCGTTTCCTTCTCATGGATGGCGGTCAGTTGAGAAACTATTCACTGAATTGTACAGCTGTAGTGTGTGGAAGAGATTAAAAAACTCAATTTTCAAACGACTATAACTCCTACAATAGTGAATGTATATTCTTGAATTTTATTTCTGCAGTAGAGCTCATGGGTACCTACAGAGACGTATTAGACTATTTATCTGTAAATCGTCAAATAAAATTGTCAAAAATGAAAATCGAATTTTTCAGAAAAATCGATAGCCAGAGATTTTTCGAGGAAAAAAAAAAATTTCACTTTCTTCTGAATCAAGTATTTTTGCTTGCGGTGGTCAATTACAATCATATTAGGAGAAAAAATGATCCAAAAAAATACATTGTGTGTAAGGTCTAATCATATACTTCGTCTGTGGTTCAACAGTCCCAACTGTTACCGACCGTGTGTTCTTACTCTTTCGATTATCGAACATTTAATAACAAAGTTTCGCGAACCTTTAGTCTTACATTGTACATTTACGTTAATATTACTAGCTTTCTGTTTTTCTGTAAACGTTAGCCTCACGGAGATCTCTAAATGGAGTTTAAAAGATACGTTTACTGATAATCGTAGATAATGATTGTGGTTTTGTTTGTCGTGATTGCAGCGCTCGAGAGGAAAATCTCGGTACGAGCCAGCAGAGACGAGTTGGTACAGAAAGGAATCCTGCTACCAGTGATAAGGTCCACGTCGTTTCCTGAAAATGGTGAGTCCTTTACCCTTTCGCGATACGTTATCATCCGCGTGATCCACGTTCCACCGTTCCGGATAAGAATCTGGGTTGGGCGTTGCACTGTTCAGCTAGCTATTCCCGGGGAGTTTTCCAATTTAAATCGACGTTTCGAACACGTTGCATTCGGGGCGCATCGAATCTGTGCGCGCCGTTATATTTTTAAACAGGTGACATTAATTACCCTTTGTAAATTTAGAAAGGTTAGCATGCTTTCGCCGTCGGTCGCCGCGCGGTAACCGGCGCAAAATCTGATCTGACAAAATTGTTCTGCATCGAGCCGTTACACTTCCAATTTAGCTTTTCCAGTTTTGGCAAGCTGGAACGAAGTTTGCGTAACTCGAGATATTCTTACCATCTCCACTGTGGGTGTTTCATTTTTTTTAATTAGCAACTGGAGCGCTAAATCTTTCAGAAATTATATAAAAGATGGCAACCCTGGTGGTACGTGGTACGTGATTTAACTAAAATTTGTCAAGAGAAGCGTGTACGATTCGATAATTCCGTCGAGAGAGAATTTCCACGATTTCCAATTGGCCAGTAACCTTTCCTCATCAGTTTCCTGCTTTCGAGACACACGGACCTTGGTGTTCGTAAATTTCCGCGAACGTGTCGGCTCCGTACGCGTGGAAATTGTCCACTCCCCGACTGATCAGGAAATAAGGACCCCACGGGATAAAACAGGGCGCGAAGGGCAAGGGCCAAGGGGCGCCGTAACGCGTGGAAGAATGTAATTAGGTTTCGCGGTCGTTATCGTCCAGACACGAGCACAATTTCCGGAATCGCGGGACGATGCATCTCGCGCTAGAAAACGTGACCAATCTCGAAGAAGCATCGCCGTTTCGTGGACGAGAAACGAACGCGAGCAGACACCGTCGCGATAAGGGTCTCGAAAATTTCGTTTCGACGTCGAGAGATTGCGGAATTAATATTTCAATTTTATTCTGTTATTAGACCATTTGAAACGTACCTCTTGCCAGGCGATCGTGAAATTTGATTTATCTAAAATAGACTCGAGGATAACCGTTGCTCCAGCTACTGGCAGGTACTTTAATCGTGAAGCAATTTAGTCGTACTTGTTAATTCATAGTTCCTTTATAAAACTCTTGGCATATAGCATCTAATTACGAAGATATCACAGTTTATTTCGCTTTGGCACCCAGCTCCTTCGGTACTTCCGCTGCGCAATTGCAGTCCCGATAGCTTGGTCGATTATGGTCGGACGGTTTATTTTACCGTGCGACGATAACGCTACGGTCGTTCTTACCGACGAAAGTGATAAGATAAGCGCTGGCGGCTTATGTTTCTGTTTCCAAACGAGGTTAAACGTTGCCATCAAAAGCTGTGAAACTTCCTGTAAAATTTTAGCGCCTGCGAGATTCTCGTAAAACCTGCGACACGGAGTTTATCATTTATGGCTATTTTATACACACCAGGCGATCCTTATAAAATGGCTCCATCACCTCGCGCGTTTGAAAACACACGAGATCGGTGCTACCCGGCAAAATATTCAATGTGGTGCAAAGTATTACACCTGAATTTGTCAAAAGAAAATTAAAACTTCGGTAAAGATCTGATATTAGAAAAATTTGTAAAACCCCAGTCACGATTATTTCGCTGGAGAATTATTCGCGATCGACGCGTTCGGTATTTATTAACACCTTGCATCGCATAAATTGCGTTCATAGTTCGTAGATTAGCGCGAAGTGCCGTGATGAAACAGCGCCTGTTGTTCCGTCTAGGCTTCCCTTGTCTCGGCGATAATGCGCGAGACACTTTGCGTGGAATGTAATTACGAAAGTGGATCTAAAACGTTCCTCTTGGTTCTTCGTGCGACTCGAGTTGGCTCCGTTGATTAATAGATTCCCGCCACTTCGCGCAACAATGCCCGTTGAACGTATCTTCTGTCAAAGAACCTGCCCGGAGTATCGAGTTTGAAACTCTTCAAGCAGCTTCCACCATTATTCATATTTCCGTTACCGGCGAGAACCGAACGTTCGAGTTTGAAACACACCGTTTCCCGGTGCTACGCAGGTCGAAATCAGTGATTAATTATTCCTGGTAAATGGACAGTGTCGTTCTCAGGGAAGATAACGAACCGTTGACAAACTTGCGGTCCTGTTACCGAAACGGCTAGATCGTTTCGAACTCCGACACTATCGATTTTCATTGAAACGTCTTTAACGTGCTTGCAATACTGGGTACAATTATTATTATTTTTCTTAACGCAAAATTGTATAGTGTTTACAGTGTCTGAATTTTGCAAAACGATCCATGAAAGAGAAGAATTTAATTTCTGAAATTAGTACGTATCGAGAATGATGCGATGGCAGAGATGGGCAAAATTTCGAGCAAACGATAAATAGAATTAGAAATAAGTCGAATGAACGAACGAAGATTTCAAAGACAGAATAGATTTTCCCCATCTTTGTAATTGGAGACTTTTTTACTGATAAAAAGAGCAATTTAAGACGATTTTCTATGTCTTTTATTTGTCTGAAAATGAGTATTCAATGGTTATGAGAAATGTGTACACTTGACAATTAGTCTTTGAAGTTGAATATGCTTGAAGCATTGAATCCTCATTTCCCAAGCAGTTGACATCGAGAACACAAGTTATATGCTCCCAATATATGTCAGAAATGAACAACTTAACGAAAGAAAAAGGACTAATACAACTGATAAAAGTGTTACAAGTGTCTAGCTATTTAAGAAGAATATGTATGTTCCCCCGAAATGTGTGTCGAATTTCCCAATAGATCCAGGTCGAATAGACAAGTACGTTTCATCATTTGTTGTCTGGTCCCATCCCTCGCACGCTTTGCTTTATCGAATAATCCTCTTATGCGATTCTTGTCACGTTCGAAATACATCTGTAGCGTGTTTCATCAAGCTAAGAACTTAGAACAACCGAGAAGAGAAGAACGCAGATTCGTAACACATGGGTACACATCAATTGGGACGTCCTATGAATAGTTGCGATCACGAGAGCCGTTCCAGCGAATCGGTACAAGCACACTGAGCATCCGTAGTCCAGCTTCCGACCCGACGACGAAATAACGTCCGCCACGTTAGATCAGATTAACCAATCCCCGGGGGTCCATCGAAGACCTCTAGAACAAAAATAACACAAACTTCACGCAGCGTGGTACGAGTTCGATTTTTCGATACACAGATCCGACAAATTCGCAACGTCACCGAACAAATATACTCCTGCCGTTTAATCATCGTTTAAACACTGCTCGAACATAACAAACGAGGCGAATCGTGGCATCTGTTTACGGTAGAGTCTCATCTATTCGCCGTAAACGACATTCGTAACTCATTGACCGAACAAACGTAAACGAACGAGGCCGAAGTTTCGCAACGTGGCGAGGCCCTTTTCGAAGGAGCAAAGAAAAGCAATTGTAGACTGCTGAACCGACGTAGAGAAACAGTCCCAGGCGTCTGTCGTCCTAGATTACTAACAAAACTAACCTGGACCGTGCGCTGCCCGGTTTCAGAGACGATCGGCGACTCGACGGACGGCCAGAAACCGCCGACGCCGCAACAGACGCACCAACAGCAGCAACAGCAACCGGCCGGCGAAGGGGTTGGTACCGGCGGCAGTGGCACCCCTGCAGCAACACCCACGTCCGCCGGTACCATGCAGCAATCCCAACAATCCCAGCAAGTAACCTCGGCCACCCCAACCCCAACGACTGCCAATCCGCATTCAACAGGACCGCCCAGCGATCAACCCTCGCCGCATCTCTCGTCCCTTTATCCGGGGATCCCGCAACCCGGCCAGCCCAACGGCAGCACGCAAGGTAAGATGCAAACACCGATACGATAACCGAGTAGAGCCATCATTTGCGCTGAAAATAATGCCGGCTTTTCAACCGGGGGTCGATCGTGGATCACGTGATCGGCCCTTAACACGTTCGACGCAGTCGGGATTAGCAGGATCTGGATAGAGCCTTAAGGGTAGCGATAACAACAGTCTGGAAACTGGATTTTCATTCCTTGACAGTACATACGATGCAAGCTAATTAATTTTTACAGGGTTGTGTCGAATTTACTTTATTTTTTATTAAATTATCTAGGGGGTGATTCCCATTTTTTTAAATAGTAGGTGGTATTATTCTTTTGTCGTTTGGCTAGCTCTGGTCGAACTGAGCGTTTGCTTAACCCTGAAGTGGATTATCTGGGCCCTCCACAAGTTTAAACTGATATTGTATAATGTATGTAAACGTAATTATTTGAAAATTTATGTAAAGTTAATTCAGTTCAGATTGAGAGTCCACTTAAGGGTTAAATCGTTCTTTCTTGTTGCTCAAATTTACAAAGTTGCTCTCACACTTCTACTATTTTATTATTCTGTTTCAACAGTTCCCTTTACTTATTTATTTTTATGTGTGTTAAAATTCCCATAAAACGAAAAATCAGTTCTAATTACGTAAATGATAGTAAATTATTTTTTTGAGAATTTTTGGTAAGCTTGCCCCTCTCGGTTTCCGTGCAGTTGATGCCAAGCATTAACAAATTGATTACGTCAGTTTCGCGGGAAGAAGTTGTGAAAGAGAGAAGACCTACCGTGGAAATTATAGCCTCTACGTTACAGTATCTAGCAGCGAGGCGCACAATGGCGCGAGTACAGGCGTTGACCTAATTACCGGAAATCACGTGTTAGAGGCGGCATTAATGGGCTACCGAGTATGATCGCGGTACGTCGTGCTATGTGACGACCGCTTAAATTTCTCATGGAATCTCTGGCTCGGCCATCTGAATCGTGCGGTAATCCCATCAACGTTAACTCATTCTCGATCAATTAATAACAAATGTCGACCACCGTTCCTCGAGTTCGAGGCACGTGTGTTCCTTGGGTTCGATCCTGGCTCCTTAGACACGAGATACATGATCGAGAAACGTTAGATCGGTACTCGCCTGCTCGTTAACAATTTGTTTAATTTGTAACGGACGCGATAAAAATTACAACGCTGGGGGAAATTTGTAATTTGATTAACGATCTGCTATTATTCTTACCGTATATTGAATCGTGATTAATGAGTGACGCGAACAGTTAGAACAAACATAATCATCGGACACGATTGGCTCGTTATACTTGCGAATAAACGATCAAGTTAACGATAAAAAGGCTAGCAAAAGATACAGTAATCTTTCATTGTATTAATACAAGTTCCTGATCGCAGATTACAAATATAATTTATGGTCGGTCATGATTAGATATCGATGGTAATTAACTGATAATTAATTGACTTCATCGTCTATAAATCAGTGCAAGAAACCAGCTTAGTTCTGTTTTATTTCCAAAAAGGTTATTTTAAATTTATTCGAGTGCTCGTGCGATCGAATACTTTGTATTGCGCAGAGACGAGAATTTGGCCAGCGAGTCCGATTATTTATAGCCTAATTTATTTCCTATAGGCTCATCTTTCTAAGTTTATAGGATGGAGATTATAAAATAATCAGAGTCCCGCTAGCCAAATTCTCGTCTCTGCCAAGTGCTTGGCAATCGCGTCTGACCATTACTGATTATTTCTACTTACGCCGGTGCTCGAACGATTCCAGAATATCGAAGTGCATTCGCGAATCTATTATTCCTCCATCGTTGCCACGGGGTTATATTCGCCTTCGTAAACAGCAGCGTACAAAGTTGATGGTTTTATTGGCATCGGTGATTTATTAAGGACAATTGAAACCACAACGTTCCGAAATAAATTCACTAAATTTAGTTCGTACGTGTCGCACGACCTCCTCGATTATTATTAAAGACAGAAAACAAGGATTTCATGGAACGAATCGAATGCAAAATTTCCACTCGAAAACCACGCACGACAAACAGAAAATATGTCTCGAACATCACGCGACGTCCAAACCTCGTATCGTGTTCGTAAATCCTACGACTCGAGAAACAACCCCCCGACCTTTCGTGCCCTCTTTTTCACCCCCTTCACGTGCCCCGTATCTCGACCATCGTCCAGACAAGGTTATCGGGTTTCTCCCGCGGTTCAAACCGAAGCCGTAAAACGTTTATCATGCGGACGCGTAACGCGATATCGTAAGATGGTTTCGACCGCTGGCAACCCCATTTTCGTCGAGTTTCAGGGATTCCCGGCGATACGTAGCGACTCTATCGTTCGTTTCGCGATGTCCACACGCGCGAATCGTGTCCAGCACGCGAGTACTCGAGGCGCGAACTACCTGTTGCGCGTCGCGAATTTATTCGACGCGATTCGTGAGTTACTCGAATCCTTTGACACTGTTATTCTACCGCTTCTCGGCGTTTCAAAGCGCGATCCAAATAAATGGAACACCTACACAATTTTTAGTCCGAACAAACGGATATCTGATACAGAGAACCCTCGACTAAATACTAGAATTTTATACATGATATTTCTAGACGTAGACGTCTTACGGTTTAAACTAGTTTAAATTTAAATTAAACTTCTTGACAAACGCGTAGTGTTGTCTTTGAGAATCGTTACGACTGCTTTAAAATGTTCATTGTAAACTGGGTATATTTAAAACACATATTTCTGTGATTATCGTGCTGTGATTAAGTTGAGGATAATTGCGAGAGGAACAGTTATTTCTGCGGCGTCCATAAGGGTTGTAACGTCGAGTAGCATAATGGCGCGGCTACAGCTTGTGGATTATGCGACGTGACATACTCGCGAACATGTCACCGTCGAATAATGTGCTGCCAGCGTCTGGTGCCGGGAGCGGTGACTGGTCGAGTCACTGTTAGGTCGTTAATTTCGCGAGGAACTCGAGGAAAGTGCTCTCCCTACAAATTTGCATGTGTATCGTTTGAAGCGTCTCTGTTTTATTTTCATTCTCGTTTGGAGGGTCGCGAAGCGTTAAACGCCGCGCCAGACTTTTGACTGGAAGCAAACTATTATTTCGGCGGGGTCTGCAGGCGAGCGTGTACATTCGTTACAATTGAAACACGTTTGGGGAATCAGACATCTGGTACAAAGACAATACTTGAATATTCAGCGCGAGTAATTTTCATTTGTTCGGGTGTTGGCCACTTAATGGATAATCACAGATATTTTATGTTCACTATACAATGATTTCTCTCTCTTGAAAAAAAATGAGAGTCGTGGAACAAGAGAATTTTCGTAAAATTCAGTTCAAACTTAAGGGATGATTTAACCCAATTGTACCTTCTCGAATTAGGGGTTGAAACGATAAAGAATTGTTGGAAGCCTCGTTTCTAGATCGAAAGTTAGTATCTTCAGTGACGAGGATTTCGGTATCGATCCCGTGCTGTAGGAAGGGCCTTTTCGGATCCGCTTCTTGGCTAAACACGGAAAAGACGAGGAAGAGAGGGGCAGAGGGACGAATTAAGGGCCGTGATGGAGTCTGTGGGACGGAAAGGGTGCAAGCAGAGGATAAAACGTCGTACAGACCGGGGGCTGAGTCGGTGTATGCTCCTCGTCTGTCTCGTAGCAAGAACCATGGGAGCCCAACGACGATCGATACGCTTCTCTGTGTACATCGCGAGTTGAAGAGCCTACCAGCCTCTGCTCTCCTCTCCTTTTTTCATTTCTATCCGTTCGTTTAACCGGTTCCTACGTTCGAGGGAGGAACGCGCGTTTGAAAGGATCGGGAAACCAGTCGGGAGAGGGCGCGAAGTCGTTAGAAGCCTCCCCAACTCGCGTAAACAAGATTCTGAGCAACGCGAGAAGACGGCGGATTTTATTTTTGATCGTTAGGCAGATCCAGTCGCGTCGCAGGGAACAACGAAATAATTTTAGAATGCATAAACGATTTTTACATGCTTTTGCATCGCGTTAAATATAAACGAGCTCGTAGCAAGGGTTGCTGGAACTCATGTGTCCGCATAATTTCTCGAACAGAATCTCCATAATTGCCCGTTAAATGCATCCCCTCAATTTGTCTTGCAGAACAAACACTCGATCGCGCGGAATAACAAATACCTTCTTCAAACATGCGTTTCGAACCTCGTAATAAACATTTCGAGCGCATTTTAATGGCGATTCCGATACTCTGCGACTGAAAACAGAAAAAGATATAAAACGATCTATGCGTACCGAAAAAATTCCTTCGATATTCGTGGTTGAGTAGAACACGATGAAAAGTAAAGTCATCCTCGTGGGTCCACTGGATTTCCCGCGTTGCCTCTGCGTCTAACGTCTTGTTTTTGTTTCCCCATTAATTAGAATTCTCTCTCGAGAAACGGATAAACGCATCAGACCGCAAAATTGAAACGCAAATATGAACAGATACGTATATTGACATAATCGTTACGGAAACCCAGCGAAGCGTACTCTGATTCTCCGATCCCTCGATTCTCTCCACTGAAATTATCTCCACGCTCCTTTACGTCATCGACAACTAAGCTTTAATCATGTTAACCACGTTTGCCCATATATCAGCCGAAGAAGCGTTTCTAACTTCAACTTAATACTTTCTGAAATGTTCCTGACGTTCTCAGACCGCCGATCTTTAAAGCCTCCGTTGATTTTATGCGAAAAGTCATTTTTGCACTTTCATATTTCAACAATATTATATTAAATCAAAGTAAACAAGCACGTCCTCATTTTCCTATGAACTTCTAGAAAGAATAGAGAATTTGTATCATAATTATTAAGAAACATAGATATATAATTGGCTCGTTTTCATTATTTCTATATTATTTGCACACGTCGATAAATCTCAAGTGCTCCGTTTCGTCCCAAATGTATACCATGACAGTTTGAAATATCTAATCATCGAATAAAATATGAAAAATCCATTGTAATTTTTAAGTATGGGGCTCGATGTGGTCCTCTGAGGG